ACATCAAATAAAACATAATTCATTTGAAATGAATATGTTAAGAATAAAATCAAAACAATATTAAAAAAAATTATTAGAATACATAAAATATTCATACCAGACACATAGGCCTGACGTCATCCAAAGCAGCACTTAATTTTTTTTAAATAAGTTGTTTTGTGTAGTTTTTTTCGAAAATGTGAATAAAATTTAACTCCTAAAAATATTCCCATAAAAATTTACCTCCCAATAAACTTCCATACCACATTTTTTATTCCTAAATTTCGGAAGAAAATTGATAAGTTGGCATCCCTGCCTTTACACTGTTTGTATAGGACTGATAAACTTATCAATGACAAGATAAGATATTGAAAAAATTACGCTTTAGTTGTTAATTCATACAAATAATTAAAAATACGAAATATGTGAATATATATTTTTTAGTTTCGTGTTTTCGAAAGATCTAATAAAATTATAACCCTCAATAATAAATAAATACGGAACATATTTCGTAACGGTGAGCGGAAGACGAGCGGCATAGGTCCATCTAGCAAGGCGCCTCAGCGCTCTCTGTTCAACGCGTGAAGTTGGAAGAGAGCCGAAACAACGCCGCGGTGGCGCGGTGTTTTGCCCATCGCGTTCGAATAAATTTTAATGAATTAAATTAATATTTAGAAATATCTTACATCAATCAAAAAATTAAAACAACAATCCTTTTTATTAATATATTCTACACCACTGATATTAATTTCATTAAGATTTATTGATGTATTACGTTCATTTTTGGTTTTGAATTTCTCTTTTAGAGGTAGTTTCATGATTTTTTTTCTATCGAGAAAATATACCGAGAATATGTTTTGGAAACAATGTTCCCTTAGAATGTACGATCAAGATTAACATATATTTTTTTGCTGCTATAAAATGTGTAGATTTTGCTAAAAAATCTTTTGAAAAATCTATTTTTACTGCATACAGCGCCTTAAAAGATCTAAGCATACATAGGGACGTACAGACAGTGGGACGACTTTATTTTATACTATGTAGTGATTGCCAATGAAATAAAATATAATCGTTGTAATGTATATCTAATTGCCTTTCAATTTTGCCACTTCAGGAAAGAGATTTGAACTTGAACTTCTGTTAAAGTGAAAAAACTGCGTCAACCATAATGGCCGACTCGTAGAATAATTATATATTTGCTTTCCATTAACTAAATTTCAATATAAAATATCATAGGCATGTGTATATATGCCAATTCCTTTAGAGAATCTATCAAACATATTCTGACTTCTCCGCTGAACATAGTGCTTTTCTAGTAGTGTCTGACTGTTCATGTATAGTAATACATATTCATTTACAAATGAAAAGTGCGTTTTAGAACGTTTATCGGTTACCTAGGGGTTATAGTACACAGCCCTGTAGTTCCGGGCTCATATACTAGGACTAATTTATCTCCTACCGTCGTAAAAGGCGACTAAAAGGGGACACGGATTGGCAGCAGCTCGAAGTGGCCTCGAGCTGCTGCAAAATGGCGAGGTAATCGGGGAAGGTTTACCCTTCTCCAAGGCGTGCTCACGCCCAGTACCGAGGGACAGTGACGGGTATCTTTTGAAGAATCCCCCCCCCCCCCCCCGATACCAAAAAAAGGGGGTTATAGTACTGTCTGCGCTACAGACATTTCATTCAAATTATAAATTAATTTAAAATTATCAATATGTATAAATTAACGTGTAAACCATAGACTGTCATTACACTTGTAACACTCGCGTTGGAAGTCGACAGTTATATTTTAAATATATGTTAACCGTAAATGGTTAACGACTACGCCATTATTTCGCCTACAAAAAGTAAACAGATCGTTCATGGGGCAAAGTGTGCGCATGTATAATAAAATCCCACAGTCGATGTTAAGTCTGCCACTTGATGAATTTAAACGAAAAATTAAAAGTACACTTATGGCTAAGCCTATTATACTATTGCCGAATATCTTGACGACGCCAATGTGTGGGGTTAATATGTTGAACGTAGGCTAAAACAAGACTATTGTACATGTACTATTATATTGTAAACTGATTTTTTTAAAAAGAGCAACTGTTGAGTTTCTTGCCGGTTTCTTCTCAACAGAAACTGCTTTCCGAACCGGTGGTACCTTACGAACGTGTTAATTTCTTGTAAAATTTTGACGTTTCATAAGAACGCGCAAGCGTCTATGTGAATAAAGATATTTTATTATTTTATTATTACTCACATTCGAATACAAACTAATTATATTTTAGTTGAAATTATATTAATTTAACATCTTCAGAAGCGTTATTTCTTTTTCCTTGTTCTATGCTGAACAGTACATACATTGCTCATTTTAGCGTAGTATAAACCCATGTCTGGACCGTCTTTTTCGCTTGACAACTATTCACATAAAACATAGCGCGAGTCGGACTGGTTTTACACACTATCTATAAAAACTGCATAAAATCATGTCTGTTGTATGAGCCCCACTTATTATATTATTCTGTTTTTTAGTATTTGTTGTCATAGCGGCAACAAATATACAACATTTGTGAAAATTTCGGACAGTCTAAGTATGATCGTTCATGAGATACAGCCTGGTAACAGACGGACAGAGAGACAGCGGGGTCCTAGTAATAGGGCCCCGTTCTACCCTTTGGGTACGGAACGATAAAAACAGCGATGTTATGGGACGGAGAGTAATTTTATGCGCAAAATAACAACGGTACACTTAAAGCGGATGCTCTTATGACGATAAGGAAAAATCAACAAGCCGACCAGAAAGCAAACGTTGTGTTATTGACTTAGAGCGATTCGTTTGCATGTCCAAATATTGTTCCAATACAGAGAAGACTTCGTAGCGCAGTCGCCAAGGTATTGGCTTCGGGGAAGGGTTCTATTCCTAAACGAGAACGATTTTATGTGCGAGTGGTTCTTCGGTGGTCATAATTGTCTGACAGTCGACTGCCAATAATCACGCTGCACCAAATTTATCTCGAAACTGACGAACCTGTCACCATTCAGGATTAGGCGGTGCATCGCATGCACAAGAGAGGAATCATCAAAATGTGCAGGTACAATTACCCCAATCAAAATCAAAATCAAAAATATATTTATTCAAATAGACGCTTGCGCGCTCTTATGAATCGTGAAATTTCAATTTGTTCGTAAGGTACCAATATTCTTCCACATGTGTTTTACAATAATAATATAAGCCCCAGGCTGTTCTGATCTCAACTCGTTCGACAAAAATTGTCGAAATGATAGAAGGGAAAATTAAGCTGCAATCGAACCAAGAACATCGTAGCCACGATGTCGAATGCGAATCGATTTTTGAAGTGAAAACTTTTCTAGGCGCCATGAGCACTTTTTGGTTGAACAATTTGGGTGAACACCGAACGCTGTCCATGAGCTATTTTTAAAAAAGGTAAACGCAAAAATATATTTGTAGTTATGATATTAATAGTATTATTCTCGTTCCTATAAAATATGCAGAATTAAATATTATACAATTTTAATTTTGATTTTATTTTATGTTTTCACTTCTGTATGGCATTTCCCATGAGATGCCTATGTTTTTTTTTAAATGGCAATTATTTCTAAAATGACAAGCGAGGTGGCGATTGATCGTCGCCAATGAACATTTGCAACACCAGTAGGGTTACAAATGCATTGCCACGACTTAACGGAGAAGTATAGCACTTCCACTTCACGTCTTCTGTAAGCTCGTGGTACTTTCCCGTAATCCGCAGCACATCCGTGCAACAGCCAAGAATGCTGCGTGGTCCTACCACAGCAAAATATGGAAGTAGTGTTCTCAGTTCTTTCAAATACCGACATTGGCCTACGCTCGTTCCTCCTAGCTGGATGCTAGATATCCTATACAAATTAGCATCGAAAACCTGGTCCTTCGAGCCGGATGCCAGATGTCCTTACGCCACGAAAGCAAAGAATTCCTGAGCATTTAAGCTTGGCGAACGCCTTGTCTTTTGGCCTGGGTGCTACTTTCACACTAAGTTTAAACAGTTTTTCGCGAAAAGTGGTCGTAACGAGCTTTAGTCTAACATAAAACAATAAATTCTATCTCATTCACGAAATTTGATAGAGTATATTAAGTGCAGAGATTAGCACTATAAATAATTTACATTTCTAAGAGTATATCACCTTTACAGCCTCACAGTATGTAAATAGAATGAAATCTATGCAGGTTTTTTGAGTTTAAAACACACAATGACTATAATCAGTTATAAAGTTGCAACAATAAAGTTACAAGTATTCTTACATTGATGCACACAAGTAATAATAACAGATTATTTATTATAATTATCTTAACAATCTACCTAACATTCTGAACCCAATAAGATGAAGTAAATATGGAGTATTTATAATGTTTCAATGATTTTCAAGCTTAAATTATTGAAATGTAAATGTATGAATATTGCCCCCAATTTATGTCCCAAATTTATTCAAAAGTGACAAGCCATGCAGGAGGTAATAGTGTTGGACAGTGATTTTTGCATGCAGAAAAGCACACAGGAATCAGGAAAAAACAGAAATCTGATTTCCCTATGAAATGGTTATTTGAACCTGCAACCTAAGAATACAAACCCCAAGCCAATAGGCCAGCACTTCCCACTTGTACTCATATTTTTTTTATTCTTAAAAGTAAATAGTGGTCAACTATCACAAATAAAACTGTTGAGGAAACTTAAATTACCTAACAAAATAAAAAAATTAAGTTCCTTCAATTATTTTACCAATCTCAAGGCAGTTAAATATTTTTTATATGGTTCTTTGTAAAATGGTAATATTAATGAGTCTATATTTAATTCTCTAGACCAACTGCTTTTTGTCTGCACATATAGATCAGGAACAAATATGCCCCATGTTAATTGTGGATGGCATTTTTAAACAACTGCAGGAGAAGCTTTCTACATTAATCTACAAAAAAAAATTTAGTGTTCCACACCACAAATAGCACAACAAGTGGTCAGTGTATACAGAATAAAACTTACCAGTCTCCTTTGACGCCTCCTCCAACAAAGCATCAAGTTTAGACTGTGATCTACCGGCAATACCCCATGTAAGGCTTGGATTTTTCTTGGCAATTCTAGCACATTCCATTACAGCATGCTTTCCCGTAAAACCGGTGGCTCCAAAAATAACCAAATCTAATCGAGACATCTGAAACAAGTACATATTTAAAATATCAGTCGGTACCATATGCCAATATTTTTACTAAAACTTCTTTTAAAAATAAAAACAATTTATAAAAATAAGATATTACTAGTTACACAAGTACAATCAAGTTTGTAATCAAACTTTTAATAAATATGTAATATTCATATAAATAACTGCAGCAGTAAATCACCAACACCATAGTAATACTGAGCCTCCCACTACACTTTTAATAAAAACATTTTACTGGCATCTATACATAGTAATTAAATGTTAAAATTATTTATTGAACTTTACTTACCGTAAAAAATATCTAATAAGTAACACAACCTTTAAGCTTTAAAACCAATTTTCATTTATTCACGCAAATCAAAACAACGCGGGCGAAATCTACGTCGGCTGTTATTAAAAAAAACTTGAATTTCAAGTTTCAGGATTCGTTCATTCGTTCATTAGTGACCATAGATGATACACTTATATACAGACATTTGGTTACTCAGGGCTACCAGCTTCGAAGAATATTTTTCCCCAAGCTCAAACTGATACTCTTGAATGGTGGATGTGGCTCATGGGATCGCTCTCAAACCAAAAAGACACTTAAGGACTGATAGGAAAACTGTTTATTTCAACTTAAACATTTTGAACTTATTTTTGGACCAAACGTAATCATTATTGAATTTATATAAAATACAGGAGTTATATCAGCTATGTATACATGTTACATCTTCAAACGATTTTTACGGAATCAATCAATTATGACAAAATTCAGTCTGAACAAATAAAATTAACATTTCAAATTTAAAGTAATTCAAACAAAATACATAAATCAAATAGTATAGAGAGTATATCAAAAGAGTATGTATAATCTGAGATTACCAATCAACAGATACATTAGAAAATCCCCATACAGTAGCTCTATTTAACTTAGTAAAACTTTAAAAATAGTCATTTCTTAAAATAAACACGAAGGTACACATAGCATAAATACGCAATAAAAAGAAATTATATTTACCAAATTCACGTCTCAAAACGTACTATTAAGTACTAACTCATACTACATACAAATAAAATATAGAGTAAATTACCCAAAGAAATTAAATATCTCATTGAATTAACAAAATTTCATCTAAATTGAAATGTATTTGGAAGAAAATCTATTTTACTCAGTCAATGAATATTAAAAGCGATGACGACAGAAAAGTATATCCTGTTTAGATATTTTAACATATGTATGTCTGATAATGACATTTTATATCGATGTTATTAAGAAAATGATTTTGATTCATTAAGCATTTAAGTGAGTATCCATTATTCATTAAAAAAAATAGCAGTGCCTGGAAAGAGCATGTAAGCTTATAAGCACTTTTTTATTATAACACTTATTTATGTAATGTACACTTAGATGGCAAATAAATGATTGAATTGAACTGAACTATATTTAAATTATCAGTAGCTAATAAAGTGGAAGTACGTGAGGTCACGCCTAGTTCTTTATACATGGGTGAGATATGATAAGATTGATAACATGCAATGTTCATCTTCACGTTTATATGTTCGGACGAGGAATTAATGCGCAATAAAATCTAATTTTTATTTTTGCCACCTAAGTTTAGGGGGAGTACATATTAACTGGTAGCCCTCAATACTCGCTTCAGTATAGATTGACATTTAGTAAATGTTGTCATAGAACAAAAATACTTAAATATTGTCATCGTGATTGAATATAATTCAATGAAGCTGAATGAGTTATTATCTGTTTTAGTTAATAGTACTATCTTATTACTTTTTAAAGTACAGTTTCCTAAAAGTAAACCATTATAAATAAGCACACAACAATTTCATGAGTTAGTAACACCATAGATTAAGATTCCCCCTGATCAGAATCCGTTTCAAGTGATTCGAATCAGATTCATTCATCATGCTACCGGTGCTTCTTAGTATATTTATGCGGCTGGCCGAGTTGCATCGTGATCTGAAAATATTGGCTTTGTCTATAATCCTTAAAGAAGTGTCACTTCAATGGAATTAATAGCCATACAAATACGTTGGCTTTAGCTTTCGGTATATATCCCGCGGCCCCTCTATCTGTGCTTCCAATATTATGCCAACCAATGAATATCATAAAGGATTCGGACAATCCATTGCTACTCTTGCGATAACTAATTTCATTCTCTCGCTGCCGCCCGACATCCCATCGTCTCTTGTACGAGGTGACATTGATAAAGGACTGAATGGTCATTTCCATCAATACAATGCATACTTTAAAATCAAACACATATGGCTCAGCGCACTCGATGGCGAGTGTAAGATCCTCAATTCGCAGCATATATACGACACCTTCATATCCCTGTCCGGTTCTGAATTGCTTCACCAGCTCCGTTGTTCTTTATGGAGGGCAGATGATCCACTGACCTTTTCCGCCGAAGTTATCAAAGCCTTCGGGCTAACAACAAACTACACCTATACCCAAAAAGAGGATTTTTATTGTAATAATTAATATATAACGTAAAAAACGAATCCTTAGTAATAAATTATAACTTTCGGAATGTTTTATAAACGTTCCTTTTCAGGAATTTAATTTTGACAATCATTGTCACCTAGCTTAAGTCAAATTATATTTGACATGCGACGTGTTTTCGTGTAATATACGGTCGGGGAGTAGATTTATGGTTAAAAGTAACCTAAGAAATTAGAATATTTATTTATCAAAATGGAATTAAACGAAAGAATTTTGCATTACTTGAGCAACGTAAATGAAGTGGATACTCTGAAGTTAGCTAGCGAATTTAATGAGGACCACCAAAAAATAATAGGTGCAGTAAAAAGTGTTGAAGCGTTAGATATGGTAAAATCAGAAGCAGTAAAAAGTACTAAATGGGAGTTATCTGAAGAGGGTCTTCTAGTCGCTGAAAATGGCAGTCACGAAGCTGTCCTCTACAGAAGTATACCAGACAATGGAATGCCTCAAGCTGAAGTTATGAAGGTAAGTTTATTTGTACTCAAACTGATAAATAATAATTTCTTATAATGAACCTTCTCGATGACAGAACTTTATTAAATTGTGTAATTTTTATAGAGAATGCAGTTAGTATTCTTCTAATGACATAGTTGCAATACAATAGTTACATTTTAAAGTTTTCATTTTAAAAGTATGTATCCTCTTAATTTTTATTTCATATTAAATTATTCACTGCTTAACTTAATAATTTTGTACACATATATAGTTTTTTATATGATAATAACATATGTATGATAAAATGAAAGCAAAGATATCGAAAATATGGTTATTCACAGACTGTACCAAATGCAAAAGTGGGTTTCAGTAAAGCAATGTCGTCTGGATGGATAATGATTGACAAATCTGGTGGTGCCCCTTTAGTAAAACGTAAAGTAGACAGTATAACAGATACTGTGCAAAATCACTTGAATGAAATAAAGAAAGGTATAGACAACTTACCAGATAATGTGAGGAATGATTATAAGAAGCGAAAGCTGCTTCAAGAGATCACTGTGAAGAGTTTCCGTCTGATGAAAGGACCCCAGTACTCAACCACTATTAAGAAATTAGAAACTGATTTAACTAGTGAGATGCTTTTGACAGGGTCTTGGAAAGAGTTGCAGTTCAAACCTTACAATTTTGATGCACTTGGTGAGTTTGCTTAGTGCTATTTACAGAGTGTGCATTGTATATGTTGTGATTAATCAAAAAGTTTTCATGTGCTTAAAAAAATTAACATTTGTTATGTTTCAAGCAAAAACAATCATTCTCATAGTAATTGTATATGCAGTTTTATTTAATAAATTTTATTTTATAAATATATATGGTATGTGTTTATTGTAATATGCTGTATATGTAATTTTCAGTTTTATTTAAAAAAAGATGTTACTGTGAATAGAACACAACAAATACGAGTAGTAAAAGATGATTTAAAATTCTTAAAAATCAACCATTATGCAAAAACAAATTAATTTGATGTTTTTGTTAATATACAAAAGTATCTTTTAAAGATTAATTAATTTGTAATATCTGTTTAAAATCTGTATTTTATAGGACAACCCCCTGAGTGTGGATACCTCCATCCATTGCTGAAAGTTAGAGCCGAGTTTCGTGAGATTTTCCTTGAAATGGGATTCTCTGAGATGCCCACCAACCAGTATGTGGAGAGCTCTTTCTGGAACTTTGATGCGTTGTTCCAACCTCAACAGCATCCCGCCAGGGATGCTCACGACACATTCTTCGTTTCCTCACCTGCCACCACTACGGACTTCCCAATGGATTACTTGGAGAGGGTGAAGAAGGTACACAGCAAGGGAGGCTACGGGTCACAGGTAATTAATCCATAAAGCAAATTAATTGGCCAAGTTTTAAGTTCGATGTAATAAAAAGACAAACAATGAGTGCCAAATCTCTACTAACTATTTCGTTATGTGAGAAGGTTTAACACAAGCTGGCGGTTCACCTGATATTAAGTGATTACTCTCAGACCCTAGTTACCTCACGCACCAGACAACGCAGAAGTATACCACTTCCACTTCACGCCGGTCTTCTGTGAGGTTATGTTCCCTAGACGAGCCTGACCATTTGTGAAACAGCAAAGACTTCTGAGTTTAAATGATATCACGCTGATATCATTTAAATACCACCCCTACACTAAAAAAATTCATAATTTGTATGGTCTATTGCCTACTTTTATGGATTGTGCTGTTCTGTTCATGAACTATTTTCTTAACAATCACACAATGCATATTTATTAAAATGAGATTGATGATTTAAAAATAGAACATTGAAAATGGTACTATCCATACAAAGTTATACAATGAATATTATGTTGAGAAGAATTCGGATGTTGACATCCGCTTGAATAGCATTACTACTTTTATTGCAAAAATTAAAAATGTTGACTTACTTTTATCATTACTATTGTGATTGACCTTTGCCTCATTTTTAAATTACATACTTTTTTTTTGTGTTTTATTACAGTAACGGGATAAAATGCATGATGTTGTTTCTTATAAATGTGTTCTTATAAACAGTTATCTTTTGTAATATGTTACAAATAATTTGTATTTTTCTTAATCATCTGTATCTTACGTTAGTAATCCAATAAATAAAACTCAAGCAATTGAATTTCTTTTAACAGGGTTACAGATATGAGTGGAAGATCGATGAGGCGCAGAAGAACCTGCTACGGACTCACACAACCGCTGTGAGCGCTCGCATGCTCTACCACTTGGCTCAGCTAAAGGAATTCAAGCCGCAGAAGTACTTCAGCATTGATAAGGTATAGGATAATACGTCTACTGTCCGTCACATGTAAACATATACATAATTACGGAGAACTTAGTTATACTACCTCCACCAAAAGTATTGAGCACACGTAAACTCGGTAGGATTATTTTGGCGTTAACAAATTTAATTGAATTTCTTGAGACCTTTTATGCTTCAACACCACTCTTGGCCTGATTACGACCTCATATACATTCTAATAATTTTTAATATAATTAAATTTGTATTATATTATGTACTAAAATTTATTATTATGACTGAATAATGACATGTGATTATATTTGGGCAATAGTATAAAGTTTATAATAAACAATATTGCGGTCAATGCACCATCTCTTGTAGGACAATGTATATTTAATATCTTGCATGCAATGTACACCATGTGTATACCATGTTTTTACAAATAAAGACAGTCTATCTAACTATCTATGGTCTGTAAAATAATCTTAATGTTACTCTGTGATCCTTTACCTCGTGTTTTAGACATGGCGTGTTACTGTATTTTCTGAAAATGTTGAAATTGAACTCGGTTATTCTGATTCGGGGATGATTGATTTATTTCGCACAGTACATACGGTACTCACTCGTGAACAATTAGAATTCTAAAAGTCTTTCAGCCCCGAGCCATGTAGCCATGTAGCCATTACCACCCTTATTAAAGACCGGCGTGAAGTACGAGTGTTATACTCCTACGTTTCTGGTGGCAACGCATCTGCAACCCTTCAGTAGTTGCATATCCAAGGCCGGTGGTTATAACTCAACATCAGGTGGACCGCCAGTTCGCTTGCCTTCTTGTTACATAATAAAGGTTGGCAACCCGTTTGCCGCCTAAATAGGCGAACTTTACGTGGAAGGTTGATCTAGGAAAAACTCCTTCGTGGCTGGGTCTCGGAAGTGTGCGAAAGCGTTCCCGTGGCCCTGCCGATATGTGCCTATGTGAGGTGGAACCTTGTGGGTGTTTTAGTCGGTGTGAGTCTGACATAACCCGCTCTTGCCCCCGCGAGGGCGGGTGCGTAGGCATTTCCCCACGTCGAAAAAAAAAAAAAAAAATACTAATTCGTACCTTAGATCGGCGAGGTATTCCTGAGAGGCACTTTTCGACCTTAGGCGAGCGTGGAAACACGCTCCGTACCTTAGAGCCCCACTAAAGCCCAGTTCCTATATTCAATGGACGGCCGTTAGTTGCATTGTCATTATGAAGTCGTTACAACGAGTCGTTATGAAAGCTACGAAGTTATGTAACTAACGGCCGTTCGTTGAATGTAGGAACCGGTCATTAGTCGATGCGAGTCCGACACAACCTGCTCTTGCCCCCGCTAGGGCGAGTATGCGTAGGCATTTCCCGACATAAAAAAAAAGGAAAGGACCGCTTCATACCTTAGAGCCCCTCTTAAGGATGGAGGTGTTGGCAGGTGTTCCGCAACGAGACGCTGGACGCGACGCACCTGGCCGAATTCCACCAGGTGGAGGGCGTGGTGGCGGCCGAGGGCCTGGGCCTGGCCCACCTCATCGGCGAGCTGGACGCCTTCTTCTCGCGGCTCGGCTTCGACCGGCTGCAGTTCAAGCCAGCCTACAACCCCTACACGGAGCCCAGCATGGAGATCTTCGCCTACCACGCCGGTGAGTGGTTCCTCACGTCCATCTGCGCCCACGTTTTATTCTATGGTGCGATCAGGATGACTTCGTGGAGCAGTATTTATGTTTGTGGTGCAGAATCAATAACGGCTTGCATGTAACTTGTTGTCTTAATCGACATTTGGATAGACTTTGAGAGATGGCAAACGAGGGGGCAGAGTGATCCCTGTATGGACTCCGTGGCGCACTTGCCAAGGTATTGGTTTCGGCGCCGGGTTACGTGGGTTCGATTCCCACACGGGACAACAGCCCTGTAGTCCCGGGCTCATAGAATAGGGCTAAGGTATCCCCTGCCTGTCGTAAAAGGCGACTAAAAGGGGACACGGATGGGCAGCAGCACTAAGTGGTCTCGTGCTGATGCAAGAGGGAGAGGGAACCGGAGAAGGTTTATCCTTCTCCGAGGCATGCTCAGGCGTAGTACCGAGAGACACCGGTGCATTCCATGGGAGATCCCGGAGTCCCTCCAAATGTACGGAAGGTGGCCACCGAGGGATTTTTGTGGGTAAGAACCCCACATAACCCTGTCTTGTAAGGTGATAGGGTATCTTTCGAAGATTTCCCCTCCCGATTTTTTTTTAAAAAGAGGGGGAATTTTCGAAGGAACGTCTATAGTAAATCTCCTAAGGCTTTAATTTGTATTTTACTGCCAATCTCTGCATTTAAAATGAAACTCAAATGTGTAAATAGATCTCGAGATATCCGCGCCTTGAAGTCTTAAAGCTGTAGCCTCTCGTGACTAATTGTAATCGTTAAATGTTCTTGTAACGCTCGATGAAGCCGGATATTACTGTAAATACAATAAAGAACGTAGACAGATGTCGAGATATCCGCGCCTTGAAGTCTTAATTTGTGAAACGTGTGGGCGTATCACATAAAAACGCAAACTCGATCTCACCAGCTCTGCACGTTTCAAGTTTCCCCTCGAGTGCAGGGACCAGAGCGCTGGTGCTGGTAGTAAATGAATGAGTAGCCAATGATCGTTGGGGCAGGGCTGGGCCGGTGGATCGAGATCGGCAACTCGGGCGTGTTCCGGCCGGAGATGCTGCTGCCGCTGGGGCTGCCGGCGGGCGTGGGCGTGGTGGCGTGGGGGCTCTCGCTCGAGAGGCCCACCATGATCAAGTACGCGCTGGACAACATCCGCGAGCTGGTGGGGCCGCGCGTCGACCTGCGCATGCTGCGCGACAACCCGCTCTGCCGCCTCCGCAAATAAAATTCACCACGGAATGTACACGGCTTTTATTTACTCCCTCCGTCTCTTGGAAATGTACGATTGACAATCGGTCGTCTGATGTCACGTGCTCTTGGAAATCTACAACGCCCATATTTTTGGGTGAAAAATTTCATAATTGATCGACTGATGCCATATTCTCTTAGACGTTTCTAACTCCATTATCAGTGGATACGCGCAAATGTTTTTACTCCACACCGGTCTTCTGTAGACTTCAGCACTTCTTCTCTAACACAGTGGACTCTACACAACTATCCCTCACTGGATGGTTGCCCATGTTGTAATAATCCGAAATCCTGAAAAAGAGGACTATACCTGCCCAAAGTCCTACAGGCTTTTAGGACATTTGACAGCTCTCGGAAAAATTGTCGAAAAACCATTGTAGCTCCGTCTCCAAGTACGGTTTCATATCACAGTGTGACCGAAGACGTCCTCTATGGCCTAGTGAAAGTGAAAGACGAATTAAGTGCAAAATAACTTAAAATTTACAACTGCACAAAAAGTGTCTCTGAAATCACTTCCGCACGGTCGAATCATAATGGCTAAGATCAACTACGCCGGAACAACAAGCGAGAAGGAGACAACAAAAGTTTTGTGTTCAAGGATCGATCGGGGCTCGCCTTTTGGAATCATCATCTAGGCTTTCCAACTTAGGGCTTTTAGCCCATACATTTCATTCATTTTCGCTAGTCAAAATCACTATGATTTTGACTAGCGAAAATGATGAAAAATGCCTATTAATAAATGTAATTGATGAAATTTTATTTAATATCATGTACTTTTAATAACTATTTCAACTATTTGTAATAAAAAGTAATTAAAACTGAGTTATATTTATTTACCTTAACATAATTTGAAACTCATTTAAACAATAACTTTGATTACAATACAGGGATTTTTTGGGGCTTTCGAAAATTGTATTTCTTAGGGCTATTTCATCTTGATTTTAGGGCCATTTTTTTTAATTTAAATTATTTGGCAACACTGACATTATCCTAGACTCTTTATATCATTGCGAAGGACTTCCTAGTCCACTGAACACTCGATGAGTGTCTGGCACTGGGAAACGGCGCCTTTAACATCGCGGTGAAGTATTGTACCCAAAATAAGTTAAATTCTTCTCGGCATAAAACTAATACGATGGTCATGGTATAAGATACTGATCTCATCTTGATCGCAAAATAATCTTCAAATCGAATGTGCAATCTGCCGGAAAGCAGCTGATATTTATAAACAAGCCTACGCTGTGAGGGTGACTGGGTATTTATAGTGAGATAATATATCGCAGTCGTCGAGCCAATACTTTTGCCCGTCAGTGTGATATGTGTGACAAATATCTGATCAACTTGAGACGTTGTAAAGATGTTTCACGCATTAAATCTGTAAGACTTACCGAACAGTCTCGACCGCGTCTGCATTCGCCCTTTTGGTTGTTAACTGTTACCGCTGGAAGTGAGAGTAGAATACAATCTTATACCTCACAAAAGAAACACCACAACGGCTATCTCCCACCGCGAAGAACGCTTGAGAGTCAGATGAACAATCTAGATAAACCTAAAATACTGGAAGCTAAACTCTCACCAGTTATCTGGTCCAGAGATGGTACCAAAATTTCATAAAGATTGTAGATCTTATAAACAGACAAACTAGTTCAGAATCTAAACAATATAGGTACTTCAGGAAGCCAGTAAAGTAACAGCCTATATGTTATATCCCACTGCTGAGCAAAGGCCTCTGTACAGGGGGTATTAGGGCATAGTCCACATTCGAAACATATATTTTTTTGTTATTATTTTGAAAATATGCAAGTTTCCACACGATTTTTACCTTCACCGCTGAGCCCGTGATAAGTCAACACTTACTCAGGTTACGGCATCGAAGATCGAACTCGGGGTATTCGAGTATATCGGATTAAAAGCAAACACCTACAATGAGCTATCACGGCTCAAAAACCATATAACACATGAATGGGGATTAATCATTATAAACAAAGCTGTTGATTTAGATTATTCTTAATTTTACATGCGCACTTAAGAAATTGAATACTCGACGAAAACACTGTTTTCACAGAAGAATGTTGGCACAAACTTCATAGAATTTCGTAAATTAAAAGAAAAAAGTAAATTTTATAACATTCCACGCGGTTGTCATAATGACATGAGTAGGATATCGTAATTTAGTAAACCACCGCATTTGCTAGTGTACACTTATACAAAAGTTTGGTATCTTTTTTTTTAGAAAAATGTCTTTCGTGGCATTGAGATATGTTAACAATGCTATTAGAGGCGGTTACAATTTACAGAAGATCATTGTTAGATTTTACGAGATACCGAAGCACTTGCAAGAAATCGGCAGTGCTCCAAACCCGAGCTTCTACAGGATGGTGGAGTATTTCTACCATAGGGCGGTCAGCATCGTCGAGCCATCGCTGATGGAGTATTTAAAGAAGCATACACATCTATCCGACAAGAAGAGAAAACAACGGGTTGCGGGGATTTTGAAGGTAATTAAATCTCCAATTAAATCTTAACCGTAACCGAAGACCGTTGTAAAAATCAAATTTTCATAAATATTAACGCACCTCAGCTCAAAGGATAGGAGGTGTAAAGTGGTTGACTGCAGTCCACCGAATGTTTGTGTTTGTATTCAATGTTGTTTATATTTATTATATTTGTATTTGTATGTAAATATATTTGTATTTGTATGTAATCATTGTTTATATCATACAAAAGTTTGCAACTTTAATATAAAGGCATCATGACGTTTAGTAGAAGCAAGGAAAGAAGAAATGTCATCGTTTTGCTATTCTTTTTTTTCAATTTTAATTGTCATGATCGTGAATAGTTTCTTTTGTTCCTAATGGTCTTCTGGCAATGTTTAAACGCGGCGTTTATGACTTATACAGGGAGATTTTTTGAGAAGTGCCCAAATTTACACAGGAGGTTCAGACTCGATAGTATAATCGTTTTTTGAAATAAATAACAAAGTTCTTTTTTCCAAGAAAAATGCTATTCTATTCCCTAAAAAACAGAACGCGTTGACAATGCGGTAGACATTCATAAATACCTAAATTACTGTGGACGAACTTGTGTGCGTGTTAGTTATGAATGATCGCGCGTAAAATAAATGAAATGCATATAAATCACGCACTTTTTGAGATAAGTTCATTCTTTATTTATTGTTTGCTGGTCTGTTGATTAAGAAATCCGTTCAGTTTTCTTCGATGACTCCGTGGTGCAGAAGTCAAGGTATTGGCTTCGGTGTCGGAGGTCGTGGGCTCGATCCCCACGCAGAACAACTATTTTGCATCTGGGTGTTTGACACGTGAAATGTATGTTTGTTAAAACGTCCTGTAAGGACGGATAATGTTATCCTAAAGTAAGGACAATGTTTTTTTTAAAAATAAAAATGCTTTTATAATATTATCCGAAAGTCTCGAGAACACGTAAGGCGACTTCCCAAGACTTGTGTCATCTGAGTCGGGAGAGAAGTGGAGCGTCATCCCATCCTCTTCGGCCTATCCTACGCTGAACGACACCAGATCTGATTCAGTCTGGTAATCCATTAAGTTCCTTAATGGGGGCCAAGTAGGTACTCGAGGTGAAGCAAGGTTGCTTGCGAAAAACAGTATACAGTGGCCGATCCGTGTGAGCAGTTTACGTATCATCAATACTTAATTGCAATTAACAGTTTCATTCGTGCTGGTATTTGAATTGAAACTAAGGTTGCTACAGGAACTCTTGGCGTTAGTTCTTAGCGTAGAAGGATTTTTTTTTGTGAACTACAGGTACTTCAGAATCTTCGCTACTACGAAAAGGATAGCTAGACAGGGTTGAACCTTCATATCTATCCAAAGCCTCCGTTTATAGATTTACTAACGACCCGCCCCGGCTTCGCACGGGTGCAATGTATTATACATATAAACCTTCCTCTTGAATCACTCCATCTTGTAAAAAAACCGCATCAAGATCCGTTGCGCAGTTTCAACGATCTAAGCATACATAGGGACAGACAGACAGTGGGACGACTTTGTTTTATACTATGTAGTGAAGACTTAGTTTCATATCAGGTGATGGGGTCGTGCAATAGCTCGCTGCAATTCGAGTTTCCACTTCAGCGGAAGAACGGAGACTACGAAATCGTCCAGGGGTATCGCTCGCAGCACAGCGTCCACCGGCTGCCATGCAAAGGAGGTCTGGAACATGTTCTGGTCTTTGTGATAGATGTTCATTTAGCCCCGCATCAAGATGTATTATGCTCGGCTATGGTTCTGATAAATATTTACACTGTCCATATGATGATAACCGGTAACGTCATTTGACATTGCACAACAAAGTTTTAAGCGCTGCTTAGTAATAATTCAAGCATATATTAAATCATTTGATTGATCAATTTCTATCAGTGTTGTTAAAATCTGAATTAATAGTATGTAGAGATCTATCAAGAAAAAGTTCATGTACGATTATAACTCGGGAAACATAGTTTATGTTTTGCTGTTAACTTCTAAAAATATCGTTAAAATAAAAGCAGATATAGTAGTCGCCGATAAATATTGCACAACGTCCTTTGAAAAGATACCAGTGACCAAATGGGTTTCGTAGGGCGCCATTTCTGTCATACCCTAACTGTGTGACGTTTGTCACTTGTTGCAACAATGTTCGGCAGAGATAATGCTCTACGAAGCTGAAATTAACCGATTTTCTTTGCCTGAACGTTGATCTGAAATATTTTTTGCCGAGTAGATATCCACTTACTACACTACATTTCATATTTTGCTCCTTTCGTTCAGGAATTCGATATTCGGACCAAGTGGAACTGGAAGAAGTTAAGGCGCTAGCCGCACTTATGACCTATAAATGTGCCTGCTCTAACATACCTTTCGGGGGAGCCAAAGGAGGTAATCGAGGTGTTCATAAATATTTTATTAAAAAATAAAGTTTTTTTTATTTGCTTTACAATAATAGAACAATTAATTTGTAGTAGATGGCGCGTGTGTCGCGCTGGAAATGTCACTAAAAGATAACTGTTTCAAATTTCTACATATTTCTGAAATGATTTCTTCTGTGTAGCGAAGCTCCGGGTGCTGGCTATATTAAATCAATATCTAACGAAAACAAATTTTATACCCGACTATTGTAGGAGGGTAATGTTCTTAAGTGATTTAAACAATACGTCACTGAAAAGGCAAAATTACTTAAACGGTAATCATTATAGAGCGGTTAAGTAATTTTGCCTTAGCAGTGACGTGAGGCTGCATTAGATTCATCTCTGTTGCGAAAGCGACATAGGAAATATAATTTAAATGTGGTGTTCTCGTAAAAAAATAGATGTATAACTAGTATAACTCGGTGGCGTGTTTACAGAGCTATTAGTTTCTCTGTCGAGAGCCGTGGGTTTCATTTCCACAGAGCAGAAAACTTTCTTTTTAATAAAGAAAATGCCAATTTATCGAGCGAATAACAAATAGTCTTACATATATAATGCGGATTTAGTACTGTAGTTGTGATTAGTATCTAGATTGTGGTTGTCTTCGAAATCTGTTCAATTTTAACACGTCGTTGCTCCAGGTGTGGCAATCAACCCGAAAAAGTACACGGTCGCCGAACTGCAAAGAATAACGCGGCGCTACACGCTGGAGTTAGCTAAGAAGAATTATATTGGTACATTTTGGACGCTTCATTTAGACGCGTAGCTAAGAACTATCTGAAGTTTAACACGTTAAAGGGCGGTACGCAAACGTTTCATTTGGCAGAGATTGGATAGTATGGGATAATAAAAGAATCTTGCAGCAAGCTAATTGCACCAGCGTTAATAGGTTTCCGGAAAATTTGGATTCGGCGGCTAGGAAAGTTTAAGGCAGAGGTGCTAAACAAACAAACGTAACACCTGACGGTTTGTGATTAGATATTACCTCTACGGGGCTAACAGATTATTTGTCGATGGGACGCCTCCAAGCCACTGTTTGTTTGCCACATTGTTTAGTTTAGTTTTTTAGTGGAGATATGTAGTATATGAGTAGGCGGGACTAAATACTCATTATCATTTCTTGCAGTTTTAGTCCACTACTGAACATAGATCTGCCACACAGACTGCCACTAAGCATCCAATCCATCTACTGGGGGCTCGTAGATTTGTAAAGTAGTTTTTCATGATAATTTGAATGAAATTGTGAAAATCGAATAGTCGAGTTGGATAATATCGTTATGGTACAAAAATTTTAAAATGTCTTTAATCCGTGAACTGTGTTAAATCAAAAATCTCGTTTCTTATTCCTTAATTTTTATCCTAATTCTTCTATTTTTTATGTGAGAAGGTGGCAAGCGAGCTGGTGGTACAGACAACACCCGTAGCGTTGCAGATGCGTTGCGCAGATTTTCATAAAGTGGGCCAAGGGTACCTCACTTACCAGACGAAACGTAGAAGTGTAACACTTCGCGCCCGTCTTCTGCGAGGTCGTGGTACTCCCCCGGACGTGCCTGCCCATTCGTTCAACAGCGAAGACTAGTGCGTGAAAAAATCAAATAGACAAAACAATTGTTGTACATTAGCTTTTTCGGCGCTTGGTCCTTCGAGCCGGATGCCAGATGCTCTATAGTCTATACTTATCTGCGGCAGTAGGACCAAAACGACCTAACGCTGAATTTTTGCTATCACAGGGGCCGGAATAGACGTGCCAGCGCCGGATGTCAACACTTCCGGCAGGGAGATGTCATGGATCGTTGACACATATATCAAAACGCTAGGTTGGTTGACGGCCATTGTTGTTTTTGTCATCTTTTCAAATTAGATTCCTCAATGTATCGTGCACTAAGAGCGAAATTATTTTTGGAATGACAATCTTATATAATTTTATGCTCTGTATACGGTGGCAAAGCTGGACAATGTGAGAAAACGGTTAAAGTTATAAAAAATGTGTGTATGTACCTATGTACATGCGTTAGAAGTTATACTTCTTTAGCGTAAAAAGATAAAAATCTTTTCAAAAGTTTTATCTTTCGCCTTATTCTACGTTTGTAGAAAAAACGATACTAACGATAGAAAACATGTATTCAATACATTAAATTTTTATTATAACGCATTATCTAGTTAAATAAAGTTTATTTAAATATCACAAAATAAATATCGTGAATACAGTTGTCAGTTCTCACGCAAACATACGTAGATGTCCTGCTAACTTCTGGGTATCGGTTTTTCGTGACGGTGTGCGCGCGCATCGCATATTACTCTCATCATTTTTCCCTAGCGCGCCAAATGAAGTATAACTTCAAAAAATTCTTGTTTATTTTTTAAATGTACTCGCATCAAGATACTGCGATTTCATTCAGGCGGGAAGCTCTTTCTCTAGTCGGTTTCTTTATAGAAAGCGATCTTTATAGGAACGACATCTTTTCCAATTTGATGTCTTTATAGCGATATTTGACTTGAGAACCGCTTAATTCATCCGACGGTGAGTGATAACCACTGCTCATCGACAACTGCAACTGTGAGGTAGCCGGGGCCAATACAGGATGTCATACACCAAGGGTGCAATGAATAGTGCAAAATTTTCGAAGAGAAGACTACAATAGACCTTCTAGCTCACAGGGTACTTACAAACCAACCTGTTCCCTGGCCTTGATTTGAAAGACCCCCATGGAGTCACTACCATTTCCAGCCCAAGGCGCTATTTAAAAGGCCCCGCTAGAAGTAGCCCCCGCTCCTTGCAAGGCAGTTCTTAATAGTTTAATAATGTAGATGACGCATGTCCATACCGGGCGGCGTTTAAAATTTGTTCCGCATGACAGTGACATGTTGTATGACACATATGTGAATGTGACGGATAATAGAACGTATTATACGGAAAGGGAAAGCGGAGTATTTGTATATAAAATAAAATAAATATTTGAGGACACATTTATACACAACGTTCTCTAGTCCCAAACCAAGCAACGCTTGCACTATGGGTACTAGATAACTGATAAACATACCAAAACGTACTTTTGTTATGTAAATACACACACTGACAAGACACTATGATCATCGCACAGTATTTTTCCAGTAGCAGGGATCGAGCCCACACCCTCTGACGCACGAGGCGGGTACACTACCGACTAGGCCGTTGGGGTCAAAAATAATGTGATTGTCGCAAGGCTACAACGACCTGAACGCGGCGGCGTGCGTGACCGGCAAGCCGATCAACGGCGGCGGCATCCACGGCCGCGTGGAGGCCACCGGCCGCGGCGTCTTCATCACCATCGAGCACTTCATGCACGACGCCGACTGGATGAAGCTCATCGGCCTCGAGCCCGGCTTCAAGGTGCGAGCCTCGCTTTGGTGCTAGGGCCACGAATGCGAATATCAATGTATTATTGTTCAAACGAGTTTCGGTGGTTGGGCCACCCAGCAGCCTCGGCTGTTGCACGAATGGGCAGGCTCGTCGGGGTACGTACCACGACCTCGCATAGGACCGACGTCAAATTAAAGTATGACAAGTACTTTGACGCTTCGTCTGGTGAGTAGGGTAGCCGGAGCCCAATTCCCAAAGGGTTGTCAACGCATCTGCAACCCTCGGATGTAGCATATGTCCATGGGCGGCGGTGTTCACTTAACACGAGGTGAACCGCCTGCTCGCTTGGAAACTGATCACATAAAATAAAAAAATAACGTAACGCGAGTGCGGTCGCTGGATCCCAGTTTATTAAGAGGCGACAAGGCGTCTGCAACGCAGTGGGCGGTGGTCATCGCTTAGCTCTAACTCCCATGAAAAGCCCTCGCGCCCCCTGCGCAGAACAAGACGGCGATCATCCAGGGCTACGGCAACGTGGGCAGCTACGCGGCCGTGTACCTGCAGAACAGCGGCGTGCGCGTCTTCGGCGTGCTCGAGGTGGACTGCAACCTGCGCAACGACGACGGCATCGACACGCAGGTTGCGTCTCTTTTTCACCTCTCTCTCCTTGTCTTTCTCACCAATCCTCTTATTCTTTCTCACCCACCAAACGCCTTTTTTTACTCACCAATCTCCCCATCCTAGCTCATCAGTCTACCACTTTCTTTCTCATCAGTCTCCTTTTCTTTCCAACCACTTCATTTTCCTCACCAGGAAAACTTTCCTTTTCTTTACATTCTCATCGTGTACTTTCTTGAATTAATTTCAAGAAAGTACACGAGTAGCCTGAAGACGTTTAACACCGACGTCGATAGATTATTGGAAAAGTTCCGACCTATTTTTGTCTCCAGCGCCTTACAATTTTAATGTTCCCTAAAGATAGCCATCTCTCTAAGTTCAGATCCAATTCTGGCTGATTCACCACGTATTATTACATATTTTTATTAATATCAGGTTTGGCATTCGGAAATCCCAGGCGTTTTTTTTTATAAGCTCTCCCTTATCCGTTTCCATTCTATCGTCATTCAATCGTCGATATTTTCCATATATATTTTTTCTTCTTTTAAAGGGAAAACATTTGTTTCGCTTAGATGAAACTTATTTACTTGTTTCTAAAATATGCATTCAAGAAATATATACAGAATATATCTTTTCTTGATTGCCACAGAGAATTGGTAATAATGTACGGTATGTAATGTAAACAACAGCGTTTAGTACATTATTACCAATTGATTACGATAAAGATGAATTCTCACCACGACAACACTGTGCAGAAGTTGCTAGAATACAAAAGCAAGAACAAGGGCAGCGCCAAGGGCTTCCCCGGGGCCAAGGAGACGGGCCCCGAGCTGATGTTCGAGAAGTGCGACATTCTGGTGCTGGCCGCCATGGAGAAGGCCGTCACGGCCGAAAACGCTGGGAAACTACAGTGCAGAGTGCGTCCACTTTCTGTAGATAGCAATACATTAATTCAGATAGGTCGATAAGTACATGAAATGTTGTAAAACCACTTAAGCTCATGGAAATGTTTTGTATTATTATTAATTATGAAGTAAAACTTTTTTACGCACGCTTAGCGTGTGGAGTAAGCTGGTGAATGCCTGACGAGCGTTACGAAAAGTGTGATGTTACGCGAAAGGTGATTTCTCTGTGTTATTATACAGCGTGTCGTTACCATCGCGACAATAAATGAACACACGTCCAACGCTACCTGTGACCTTTACAAATGAACTTTACGTTACAGTTTTATACGTAAGGGTGTTCTAAAATTGTTTGTTTTGGAAAATTTAATAACTCTGTAAATATTTGATGTTTAAAAAATGTAAATGTTTAATACAATTTTAAAAAGTTATCCTCTATATGTGTGTTCATTTATTGTCGCGGTGGTAACGACACGCTATATATGACATTAAATATTCTACGTTGAAAGTGAATACAATTGTAAATTTAAACAGATGGAGAAACAGATTACATATAGTTGGAACTAAAGAAGTTTTACTTAAGTCGTGTGGTCTAAAGCACGTTTGTTTTTACTTCAATCATATTCCACAGAGCAGGTAGGTTACAAAAATTGGGAAAACCATACCGTCATTTTATTAATTGTCATTTTGTTGAATGTTATTAATTGTTAGGAAATTTCTTGCTTATCCAAGTAAGATAGTTTGGTAATTTTCGGGACATTTCTCTGGATTACTTGAAAAAATATCATAAAAATCCTTTCGTATTTCACGGACAACAGTGACAGGCTTTTCTCCAATCGCGTTTGAAATGTTACAAACGCGGCAAGAAGCAGATAAACTGTTTGCTTCCTTCCCGACAATGATTCGCGACGATGTGCTGACCTGATCGGAGGTCAGTAAGGTGAGATGAGATCGCCGAAAGGTCCACCGCCCGTAAGTGATCGCCAAAGGGTGCGACCAACCAATCACTGGCTGGTGAGGGCAGGTGGTGGCGGAGGGCGCCAACGGGCCCACCACCCCAGCGGCGGACGTGCTGCTGCGCAAGCAGGGCATCCTGGTGCTGCCCGACCTGCTGGCCAACGCGGGCGGCGTGACCGTCTCCTACTTCGAGTTCCTCAAGAACCTCAACCACGTCAGCTTCGGAAAGCTCAGCATCAAGTTCTGGCGGGACTCGAACACCGCCCTGCTCGGTAAATGTCTACCGTCACCCTCACTCCGGTCATATTTTATCGACGCGTAAAACTAGGAGCCAATTGGCGCAGTTCATAGTGACTCAGCCTCTTGCGCTAGAGGGTGTGGGTTCGATCCCCACTGCAGGAAAACTATTGTGTGATGAACATAGTGTTTTCAAGTGTTTCGGTTTTTATTTATATACTAGCTGCTGCCCGCGACTACGTCTGCGTAGAGGGGTGAAAATTATGTATGCTGTATCATGAAAAAATGAAAACAAAAAATTTGGTAGAAATTTTTAAAAAATGTTAAGGGTGTACAACCCTTATCATAGATAAAAATAGATAGTATCCGATTCTAAGACCTACTGAATATGCATATAAAATTTGGTAAAAATCAGTAAAGCCGTTTCGGAGGAGTAAGGTAACTAACATTGTGACACGAAAATTTTATATATAAGATAATATGTATTTATTTACAAAAAAGTATGTTTATTAATTTATCTAGTACCCATAGTACAATGATTGCTTAGTTTGTGTTAGATAAAGTTGTGTAAATATGTTGCGAGAAATATTTATTATATTTATTTTTATATTTATTTAAGCCTCCGTTACCCTTCTGATAACATCAAGCGACATGCCACAGTTTCTCAAAATGGCAATTCAGTTTTGGTAATTTTAAATTATTGTTAAAAAACTAAGGTATCTGTTACTTTATTTTTTTTAATTATGTTGTCAAGCGAGCAGGCGGATCACCTGATGTCAAGTGAATACCGCCGCCCGTGGACATCTGCTACACCCGAGGGTTGCAGATGTGTTGACAATCTTTTTGCAAATTTGGCACCGGCCACCTCACTCACCGACGAAACGCGAAAGTATTAAACTTCCACTTGACGCCGGTCTTCTGTGAGGTCGCGGTACTTAACCGGACGAGCCTGCCCCATTCGTGCAACAGCCTCGGCTGCTTTGTGGCCCTACCGCAGTTAAGTGAAACTATGGATGAAACGAGCTATGAACGTATGGTAAGTGAAGGGAATATGGAGCGCTGTGGAACTTTGAGTTTGTGAAAACTTGGACCAGACTCGGTGGAGAAGTCGCTGCGGGACAACAAGATCGATGCGAAGATCCTGCCCACGCCTGTGTTCCAGTCGATGATGTCGGGCGCCAACGAGGAGCAGATCGTCACCTCGGGCCTCGAGTACTCCATGCTCAACGCGTGCAAGGTCCGCTCGTGGTATCACTTACGTTGCCCGAAGGTGATCGGTTGCAAGCTCGACTCGTATGCATTACGGGGTTCGATTCCCACGCGGGACAGCTGTTTTTGTCACCCAAAGATGATCGGTTCGAATCTGGGTGTTTTTTCCGCGTGAAATTTGTACGTAAAACGGGCCATACAACACAGGATAATGCTATCCTAAAATAATGAACTTTGAAAAAGAAAAAAAATCTGTCGTTAATGAAGATAGAAAACTAAAACATATATATATATATGTATATATATATATATATATATATATATAATTTTTGGTATTCAATACATTAGATACGAAGATTCTAAATTTTAACGAAAAAATATTTGAAAGACATGAACTGCTGCTATTGAGGCATTCAACTACCGATTGGCAGTGGAATGCCCCCATAGCCTCCGTGCAGAGGCCTTTCCCAGCTGTGGGCAAAGGCCTCTGCACCCATATAGGCTGTCGCCAACCCACCCCTGCCCCAGAACGTGTCGCGGGCGGCCAGCAAGCACAACCTGAAGCTGGACATGCGCACGGCCGCCTACATCACCTCCATCGAGAAGATCTTCGTCACCTACGACGAGCAGGGCCTGGCGCTCTGACCCCATCGCCCCTCGTGCTGTGCTCGTCCAATAAACTTGAATTGTGAACCGAATCCAGTCTCCTTCATTGGCCATCCCTTCAATTGATTCTTAACTTTTAGATTAATCGTTAAGACCCTATGATCACAAGACTAGATATTAGAGCTATTTGTACCATTGGGTCTCCGTTGAGAAATTTTGAAACGAACAGTTATTTTTGTTTTATTATTGAGTATTTCGACATTAAAAGACAAAAAAAAAACTTTAAATGCCATCTACCATTAAAGCAGGTCGATCTGGGATTTTTTCAAATAATCCAGTTTCGTTGTGAGTTGAGATGTGGCGTCCATATTGGGACCCCCAGAATCTACTTCAAAGTATATATGGGAAAGTTTTCAGTGACTGAGAAATTAAGGAGTGGTAGGAGGTTGACATCGTATGGGCACATTATGAGATGGAACAAAAGTCATATGGCTAGAAGTGATGAATATGAATGTGGATGGAATATTCCAAAGCTAGAGGAAGACTGAGAAAGATTTGTATGGACTGTGTTAAGAATGATGTGTCTGAACGGGGTCGGTATTGGGATGACGGCTGATGGAGGAAAATTGAATGGATATGCTGACCCCACCTAGTGTGGGATAAGGGCAGCAGAAAGAAGAAGAGATTTTATATTATACTAGCTGGCCCGCGCTACGTCATCTGCGCTAAATTTACAGGGTTCATGCGTTTTCAACTTTTGAAATAGCACCTTTCTATAAAATCCTTACTCAATCCGATAAATTTACTTTACACCGTCATCTGTTAAAATCCTATAGAACTGAAAGATAACTAACTCTTTGTCGTCTAATAAATAAATAATTTGCAAAAGATTTTAAATAAGATGTAAGCTATCCTATCTTTCAAGTTGGATCAAAACTGCACACGTTGTGCGAATTTGATTAAAATCGGTTAAGTGGTTTGGGGGTCCATCGCGGACAAACTACGTGACACGTAATGTATATTTATAATAATAATAATAATAATGCCTTTTATTCGGACTAAGGATACATTTGTTACTTAAACTACTGCACTATAACTTACTACTAACTAATTAAATTAATAAAATTCGTGTATTTGGCGCTTCTTTATCTCCTGAAAGTCCGTTTGCCAGTTGGCAAAGCCAACCTACTCCATTCTGATCTCTCTCTAGCTACTCTAGTCCATGTTATGCCTGATATCATCGTCCCATCTTTCTTGTTGTCCACCTCTTTTCCTTTTTCCTTGCCTTGGTTACCATTGTGTAACTGTTTTACTCCATTTGTCCTTTCCTCTGATCATATTTATATGTATATTATATTTAAAAAAAATGAAAGAAACGATACATGATATTTGATGTTTATTTGTTTCCTATAATAATATCGATACAGAGCATTTATATCCAGTCGATGTTAGAGCATTGTCTAGTGGGTGCGCGCTCGCTCCCTGTTGGCCAGGAACCACCGCACGGTGAGCTCCACGGCGCTCTGGAAGGGCGTGAATTCGAAGCCGGAACAGAGCGCCCTCAGCTTGGCGGTGGACGCCGTTTTGCGCAGCTGCCCGTCCGCCTTGGACGAGTCGAACACCAGCTCGCCCTTGTAATTGTGAGCCCTCTTCACCGCCTCCGCCGCTTCGGCGATGCTCACCTCCGCCTCTTCGTCCACTGGTTAAGAGGAAATTCCAACACATGCAATCCACGGGAGATTCGAATTCAAATTTGAACACTAGCTGCTGCCCGCGACTACGTCCGCATTGAATAGGCTGAAGGCGTAACATTAAGACGGAAAGATCTTTTCAGAAAGGCTTTTCTAAGTGTATCTATTTTTTTTTTATTAAATTCTAGACATAAATAATGTTATATAAAAAAATGATAAATATTTAAAATCACTCGTAAGTAATTAATTACATTCATTTGAACTTATCTCAAAAAGTGCATGATTTAGACGCAACTCATTTATTTTACGCGCGATCATTCATAAATAACACGCACACAAGTTCGTACACAGCAAAATTTAGGTATTTATGAATGATTACCGCATTGTCAATGCGTTCTGTTTTTTAGGGAATAGAATGGCATTTTTTTTTTGGAAAGAAAACTTTGTTTTTTATTTCAATAAACGATTATACTACAGAGTCTGAACCACCTGTGTAAATTTGGGCATTTCAAAAAAATTCCCTGTATAAATTGCAGCCTATGTGTTATTCTGATGTATAAGCTATATTGTTGTGAAGTTTCGTAAAAGTCGATACAGTAGTATTTGCGTGAAAGAGTAACAAACATCCATCCATACATACAGACTTTCGTGTTTATATTATTAGTACGGAAGTAAGGATAAGGATAGTAAGGTTAGCCGGTGATAGCTACTCAGCTATCAGATAACTGATATTTAGCTAACAGATATTTGTTCTATTTTGACAATTTAAATGAAAATAACTTCTCGGAATTAACGGACCAGTGTCCGAACAAAATAGATAGTTTTCAAACAGTTGCACCAGATATCAGGTCGTATTGAATTATTCCGCGAAAATAATAATTCATTGAATCCAATGACTTATGATCCGATAGGTAGGGTACAATAAGTATATAACCAATATACCATCGCGCACACGAACGACAATACACACACATGCACACTTAGCAAACAGTTGCTTACGAAGACTAGGAAGAGACTGCCAAGCGAGTTGACGGTTCACCTGCTACAGCCGAGGGTTGCAGGTGCGCTGACAACCTTTCGAAAACTGGGCTCCGGCCACCTCACTCACAGGCGAAACGCGAAAGTGTTATACTTCCACTTGACGCCGGTGTTCTGTGAGGTCTGCGAAGGCCTGCCCATTCGTGCAACAGCCACAGCTGTTAAGAGTCCCTACCGCCGTAAAGCCGTGTCACGTGACGCTCGCCAACCTGAGAGTATGATGGGCTCCACGCTGTCGTAGCTCCTCAGCACCCAGAGGAACAGCCGCGCCAGGTCCAAGGAGTAGACGAACTGGCGCAGAGGCCTCCCACTGCCGAGCACCGTGAACGTGGGCTCGTCTGCCAAAAGTAATAGTGATATATGGAGCAATAAATAAATAAATATTTCAGAGCACATTTTTACACAACATACTACACCTTAAGGGCAACAATGGGCGGACGTAATGCCTAATGGCAACATTCTCTTGTCCCAAACCGAGCAAAGCTTGTATGGCTACTAGATAACTGATAAACATACAAAAAATACTTTTCTTTTGACACCCAGACGCTGAGAAAATACTATGGTCATCACAAAACACCAGTATTCTATTAGGGGATCGAACCCACACCCGCTTGCGCTAGATGCAGGACCCAAACGGACCGCATTTGTCCAAAAATGTCTAAAGAGATCTACTGATTTCGGATTAGGCATCTAGAGGTAATGGTATTTCGAAGGTCTCGAAGGTAGGAAACGCACTGACTGTTGAGCAATTTTAGAGGAAAGTCGACCTTATAGCGAGACAGTAAGGTGGCAATCGCACTGATCGTTGAACACCCCGAAGGTCTAGGAGTGTTGATGGGTAAGATCTAATTTTAGAGGAAATTGGACCTTATATCTAGGCAGTAAGGTTGCAATCGCACCGACCGTTGAGCACCGCGTCGTGCATCCGCCTCACCAAGGCGGGCAGCACGTGGCTGGCGGTGAGGGAGAAGTTGTCGTGGGGCCCGAACACGTTGCAGGGCACCACCGAGGTGAACATTCGCCCGTGCTGCTCCCAGTAGCCCCTAAGGCACACCACCACCACCACCACCACCACCACACACGTCAAAGTCAAAGTTTCTTTACTAAATATGGGCCAATTTTAAGCTCTTGCTGAACGTCAAACCGGCCAAGCGCGAGTCGGACTCGCGCACAAAGATTTTCGTAAAATTATTAATGAAAACGACAAAAAAAATGGGAGTCCGACTTAATTTTCTTTCTATTCCGTTTTTAGTATTTATTGTTATAGCGGCAACAACGATACATCATCATGTCCTCACAGAAGAACGGCGATGAGTGAAAGTTTTTCACTTTTGCATTTTTTCTGATAAGTCAGGTAAACAGGGCCATAGCTGTCTGTTATTACACAACTGCAAGAGGTGACCCTTAAACTTAAAATAAATCTGCAGTCACAATATCAAACAGAATTGATAATAAGAATACTAATCAACATTATTATTTCTTAATTTCACATAAATATAACAAGGAGAGAAGGTCCAACAAATTTTACATAATTATAACATTTTATCTGGCATCAGGGGCATCCATATTTTTATTTTATGTGAAAAGTTGTCAAGCGAGCAGATCACTTGATGTTAAATGAATACCGCCGCCCATGGACATCTACAACAGCAGCAGCATCTTGCAGCCTTAAAAATAGTGGGTGTTCCGAGAGGCCCTGACTTCCCCGGACGAGCCTGCCCATTTCTAAATTACTCATTAAACTACACAATTATTTTCAATGTTAGTGAAATATCCAACCTGTTCAAAACATCTATCATCCTTTTCGCGTAACTGTACCCATAGTTCGAGGAGTGAGGAGGTCCGTTATGTATCTGGAAAATTATATAAATACATTATACTAAGAGCCGTGATAGCTCAGTGTCCGGGCGCTCGCCTTTAATTCAATATACTCGAGCAACGTGAGTTCGATCGCCGGTGCCGGCACCAATGAAGTTTTTAACTGAGTGCTGAATTGTCACGTGCTCCGCGGTGAAGGAAAACATCGTGAGGAAACGTGCATATTTTCGAAATAATAACAAAAAAAATGTATTTCGATGATATGTGTAGTCCGCCAATCTGCAGTGGGGCCACGTGGTGGACTATGCCCTGATACCCTCTGTATAGAGGAGGCCTTTGCCCAGCAGTGAGACAAGTATAGGCTGTTACTTTACTTTTTTTTACATTATACTTAATATATATAAAATTCTGAATCTCTTCAGAAAAATTAATATTGACTTAATGGTGAAAGTATATAAAATTAGTAGTCTTTGTGTTGTGCACAAAATCATATATTGTGCACAACACAAAGACTTGACTTTTCTTCATTGTTTTTTAATCATAAATTGAATAATATTAAAAATAAATTGAAAATATCTTACAATTGTAAGACTGTTGTTATTATTAACAACATCAAGCGTGGATAATTACACATTAGATAATTCTAACTCACCATAGTTTCGTCAATTGGGTAAGTAGTTTTGTCCGGGAAGATACAAGTGGACAGGCATGACACCACTTTTTGAACGTTGTATTTGTAGCTTGCATATAAAACATTATCATTTATTGCCATATTCTCTCTCTGGAACGAAAGAAATACAAATGAAGTCTAAACAACACTAATAATATTTTTATTTAATGTTACAAAAATAACATTTTACACAATAAGACAAATTTCATCATGACTTCTCTTTATATATTACATTTATGTCTGTCAGTCAGTTATAATTCTGATAATTAATCGCCTTGGCGATTTTCAAATAATTAAAAAATTAGTTCTCATCTATAATAAACAAAAAGTTCCATTAATGACATGGTAACATTAGTTAAATTGAATTCCATTTTACTAAACTTTTTTTATATAAAGGGAATTATTATATCTAAAATATATGTTCTTTGTTTCAATAAAACTAATTTACATATTTTATCCAATTTTTGTCAGTGAAAAAGTTATGAAAATTTAACTCACAACGGATTGAATACTTAAAGTTACTTACTTAAAATACTTAAATACTTAAAGTTGGATTAAAATGTTTACTGCCTTGATGCATTACTGTTAACTCATTACACTATCAGAGCTTGAAAATTCTTTTCAGACTAAAATTCGATATGATGGAAGTTTCAATTTAAAATAAACCATGATGAAACTCTTGAAATAGTTTTAGAATTACCTTAACTTATAATATGCGGTTTTATAAAGTAGTATGATTTCTAAAGCCATCCATTAGAAGAAAAATTTACAAGATTTTATTAGAACTCACAAAGAAATCCAAATTATGTGCCATGTTGTGAAACAATCCTCCCACCATTGCTGCCAGATGAATAACATGGGTCGGTTTGTGTTTCTCAAACAATGATTCAGTCTGTGTTTTATCTCTGTAAATATGTAATACATTGAATGAGAACATATAACATGCAAAACTAGCTGAAACTGGCCAATCTTTGATGTGGTTTTTTCTTTCGTTTCAGTTGTAAGTTGAGAAAAAAAGGTTAACACACTGTTAAAAACCTAAACAATTATGCTCACATTTGTTTTTGAGTTATTCTTCAAAAACAATTGAATGTCCATAAATTTATTGACTGGTTAAATAAACAATGTTTTAATAAAGAAGACGCAAGTCAATACTGCACGGTTTTTAAAAATTGTTCCACTTTTCATCATTATATGACATATACATGTAAGTGAATATAACAGATGATATAGAACATGATATGGAAAGATAGGAGACTAATAAATGACAACAATTTCTGTAGTTTAAATGCTTCAGTTTTGCCGTGATAGTGTCACATATGCCTCATATTTGTATATAATTATATATCTTGGGGTTAAAGGAAATCTAATACTGATAAATTCATCACCATACATATTCACTATTATTATCTATAATATAATCTTATGTATAAATTCTGCAACTCAAGTCGAGTGCGACTGCAATTAAAATCCTTAAAACCATGATTCTGATAACCAACTCGGACCAAGGTTATTCATTATAAGATTTTAAAAAATGTAGGTAATATTGGTGCATCCCCAGATTAATGGACAATGCTATTACAAATTAAATTTATTTAAGTATTTTGGTTAATTACCTTAGGTCAGCGTCCTTGGAACTGCAAAATATCCATTTTTCTTTATCAGAATCAATAGAAGCATTTTGCCGTTCTTCTTCAACAACAGTTTTGATAGCTTGCCCGACGAGACCAGAGCCACCAGTTACTAATATAATACTCTGGTCACCACTCATCTTAATAATAGGAGCACTAATTAATCTTTATTGAACCGGTGTTTATCGCTAAAAGTTTATTAACATCTCTACCTTAGATATAGCACAATTACAAGTGTTATAATCAGACGTAGAGGGCAAAATTATTAATTAAAGTACTGCGAAAGAATGTTAAATATACGTGGCAAAAATAGTTTTTATCTGATTTGTAACTTGTCGCCGTCGCTTCATAAAATTCCAAACAAGTGCATTTTAATATTGGTTGTCACTTTGACACTTTTGTTAACTGTCAAGATTAACATTTTCGGTTTCATTTCTAATTAGGGAATTCATAAATGTAGTCTTATTAATTACATATTTTGCTTAAATTGTTGTGTGTATTAACTAAATTATATATATATAATAAAAATAAATTAAAAATTAGCAATTAATTTTTAATTCCTTTTATATAAAAAAAATGTTATTGGATATATTTTTAATTACATTGTGTTGATTGGTAATCTCAGCTTATACATACTCTTTTGATGTCAACTCTGACCTGTTTGACTTATGTATTATGTTTGAATTACTTTAAATATTGAATGTTAGTTTTATTTTGTTCAGACTGACTTCCGGTTTCTGAAACACTGATCATCGTAGATGTGAACTAATCACCTGTCAAATTGATTTCAAATTAAAATTTAGGTACCAAAAGGATGGTTAAATTCTCTGAATTGACCAGAATGATCTTCTTTATGATCAGAATGATCAATTCAAAGAGTTTAAACATCCTTTTGGCAACTAAAATGAAATTTGAAATTCATTTGACAGCTGATTAGTTGACATCTACGATGCTCAGTGTTTCAGAAACCGGGCGTGAATTGTGACATATTTGATGGATTCCGTAAAAATTGCTTAAAGAAGTAACATGTCTTGTTATCTAAAATAAATCTTGTATTTTACATAAATTTCATAATAATTACGTTTCGTTAAAAATAAGTCCAAAATGTTTAAGTTCAAATAAATAGTTTTCTTATCAGTCCTTAAGTGTCTTTTTGGCTTGAAAGTGAACCCATTAGCCACATCTACCATTCAAGACATTGAATCTAACTAAATTATATATTAATTGCAAATGTGCGGGAAGTCGATGAATGCAGGTGTCTCAGGATCGTACTTCGTGGCAGTCTATGGGGGAGGCCTATGTTCAGCAGTGGACTCAAACAGGCCGAAATGATGAAATTATATATTGTGTAATAAACCTAGTCCACGCGGCACGGTGCCAGTAGCCCTAGCTGCATTTCATCGCTTTGTTATGTTTAACCTTTGAGAGAGAAAAGAACCAGCATTCTTGACCAGCCGCGAACTGCATTTCATCGCTAGTTGTGTTTAACCTTTGAGAAAGAAAAGAACCAGCTCTCGTTTCTTCAGCCGCGGTGATGAGTCTATGATGCAAAAGTCGCCAAAATTTTGATTTACAAAGAACATACGGACCTAGGTTTCAACAGCAAAAGGCAAAAATACACAATCTATCTAAAGAGACTCTCATTAGCGCCACTTTCTCCACTGACCGAAGTATCCCTAGATGATTGGCAGCCAAAATATCTACACAAGTAGCATCCCAAGCTGTCGGTCTCTTGTCATTGTCATGGAAAAAAAGCAACAAGGCTCTAAAATATAAGGTACATTGATGGAAACAAGAGCCCTACGGATTTTGTCGTCTAAGAAACCGTGGCGGGAAAAGCCACAATTTTTTCTAGAACTGTCATAAGATGAAAATCATTTCGTTCAAAAAGTCACCGCATTTCCAAACTCACTCTAGCGAATAATGAAAAGCGCAAGATGCGAATTTAATGAAAATCTACAAATTTATTTATTTTAATATCAAGAGATTGAAATTTTGGTATTAATAAAGCAGATAATAAAGCAGATAACAAAGCAGATAACAGATATAGTGAATCTCTACAGACTACGTTTATGCCTTGTGTGATAGATTTAAAAATTTGGATGGAAATAATTTTATCTTAAATATATTTTTTTAATAGAAATTAATAGAATAAATATTTCACATTTTTCAATTATTCAAATCAAGGTTAATATTTTTAAATTGTCCACTTATGTTAATAAGATTTCAATAAGTACGTACCTATTCAACTTTACCTCCCAACGTCCTATCGTCTATGTACCAGATATTAAGTTTAGATTTCAAATTTGAAATATTTGGAATGTTGAATTCCCAAAGTAAATAATGCTTGTTCTAGCGGGTCTCATGTTAGAATCTAATGTTAGAATTTAATCTTTTGAAGTTAATCGTCAAAAGGTAGAAGCAATAGGACTAGTATCTTTTTTTTGAAGGCGCATAATCTTTCTCCATACAAAAATGGAACAAATTTATAATTTACCTTTCCGGAAAATATCAAGTTGCTAAGAAGTGTTCTGCCAGCTTCACCAAGCGCTTATAAGATCTTTCAGATGTTGTGGCTTTATGCCGCAGAGTGACTTGAAAATGTCATAATTGCCTCGAATGTCTTTATTGATAAATTGCAATACCTGATACGAAGTATCGGCAGGCAGCGGTAGAAATGGTGAAAGATGGTGGCGTTAATGTGAATAAATATTTATCCACATTGACACATGGGTGTGTTGGTGCGTTTGGCAAACTAGAGCACCCGGACGAATTCCCACAGCAATGAGTAAGCTTTTATTTTTAGGTAATGTTACACAACAAGTTACTTCAATGTGGAGCCGAAACGTGAGCGTTCTTGCGATTATCGATATCTAGCGAAATTCGTGACCTACTATTCTTTTGATGTGTGACAGTTGAAGTTCTCAAAGATTTAAAATTTTTGACCACAAGGGTTTCTGAAGCGATAATTTTGGTTTTTAAAAGCAATTCTTTTAAAGACGATTCAGGTTTTAAAAAGGGAAAAATAATCACTAAGTCAGTAAATACGTTTCTCATATATATTTCAAATTACATTTAATGTCTTGTGTTATTTTTACAGTGCAGTATTGAAAATGTGCAAGAAAAAAATGTTTACTGATATAGTAGAAAACCTATTTAAGACCAAAAGTATTCTTAACCTTTTTCATGACATCTTTTAAGAGTAATTTTATTGTAAACCTTGGATTATTAAACAGTCTTGTCAAATTTTGACCATTAATTTATTAATTTTAAAGTTTTTATAGTGCTAATCTCTGCACTTAAGATTGAACATTAAAAGATGTAGAAAAAGTACTTAAAGATTGTTCGCCGCTGTGGGAATCGAACCCACGTCTTCGGCATTCGCGGCCTGACGCTCTAGCCACTGAGCTAAACGGCTGATATCCACATTAATGTATTAATAGAAATATACACGTGATCAATACATAACAATAACGGGCAAGATGTACATACAAATAATTTTATCATGTTGTGGTAATTCCATAATCAAAAACAAAAAACGATGATCAACTTGTCTATGGCTAGTCTATTCTCCTAAAGTAAAACTACAATGTTTTGTTTTCAAGCTGCCAGATCTGTGGATCAGTGTCTTTTAAAAGTAAATATAAAAGTCTATGGTAAAATTCCTCGCAAATGATTGGTTAACTGTTTTTCTATGAGCGTTCATTCTCGCTCTGAAAACGCCAAATACGCTTTCAAACCAAAATGGAGGATTTGTCGGTCGAGGTGTACGGTGAAAATGGTGCTTATTATAAGGTTTGTAATTTGTGAAGTACGATATAATTGCGCGTAAATTTTATAACTTGAATTCGTGAATTATGTAATCTGTTATAAAGAATCATCGTTAGTAAGTTTTGTTACATACTTACAAAAATATTTTTCCCGGGAAGAACATCGCGGCTGGAATGGACGCCATGTCCGTCTGACAGGGCGTGAATTTTCCATGTGTTTTATTCGTGCCGCTTTGTATTTTTAGCCGCGATTGCGGAACGAAACTGGTGCGATGGGCAACACATTTTTGCATTTGCAATTTTTAACGTGTATGACCCAGAAAACTCATTTATTTCTAGCACGTTACCAAGTTATTGGATCATCACTATATTCTAATAGTTTCTTATATTTTTAGGCCATTGTCACCGACGTGCTCGACAACGAGGTTCTAGTAACCTTTGAAAATGAGTGAGTTGACGGTTTCCTTAATGAGAATTGAATTGGAAACTCATGAGCAGTTATTTATTTACATTCATTTTCCATTCAAGCTGGCAGCCGGAATCGAAGTTTCCATTCTCTCAAGTGTTCTTACCACCGAAAGATGCCGGCAAACACACAGAGTTCGTGGAAAACCAGGAAGTTGAGGTTTTCGCGAGATCAAATGAAAAGGAAGCATGCGGATGGTGGACGGCAAATATAAAGGTATTACCTAAATTACTTTACGATTTTGTCGCGAAATTAAGTGTAATGTGGCCATTTTTTTCCATGTACCCTCACTAAATAGCATTAGTGGCGCTTCACCAACAAATGTAGGGATTTATGCTATCTTTAACCAGATTGACGTTCGTTTACGGAATATTCGCATATTAAAATGTATTTTTTTTTCTCATATTGAAACAATGACCACTCACAAGTGCCAATTCATTGATTACTGATAAAGACTTCAGTCGATTGATAAATCGGCGATTGATCGTCATAAAATCTCACTGAAAATTACTGATGTAATCCATTGGAATTTCTTCTTTATCATAGCTTTATTTCATGAGACACCTTACGCAGCCAAATAAAATGCTAAATAACCCTCTCCTATCCAGGTGTTATTTAGCATATGTGAGCAGTGAGTGGAGCTTGCATGTGTTCAAAACACGTCTTTCAATGTTGTATTGTGATTGTGGGCAAGTATAGCTCGAAAATCCAGTTTGGTTCATGAATTGGTGTGAATAATTTCAATGTATATTGCATTTGTATGGTTCTGATTCAGACTTTATACTTTAAAATGTAGATTATGTTAATTATTATACAGTGGTTATATATAGATTTAGTAATTATTAAATTTAGTTGTGTAGTTACTAATCACAGAAAGTGGATGTCAAATTATAAAATTGCACATTTTTTCATTTTGTACAACATATTCATTGAAGATTGAGATTTATTGATTTACAAAAAATACAATGTTCCAGCTGCCAGTGATTTTGTTACTACTATGTTGAATAGTAACCCGATATTTAACCATGTTGGTTCTCTGGTTGTTCTCTTTTATCCTTATGCAGTTTAATAAATCATTATGTTTGATCAGACAATATAAATTGCTATAATTATTAAGATCCCAATACTAAAAAATTATGCATGTAGATGTAGTCTGGAAATGTTTAGAAAGAGGTTAGTTTCCGTTGTAGGGAGCTTAAAAAATTGATGGTTTAATTACATAGATAAATTAATATACTTATTAAGATCCAAATAGAAATCTTAAAAATAATGCATGTAAATTTAGACTGGAAACATGTATAAACAGGGTAGTTGCTGTTAAAGTGAGCCTAAAAAAATTGATGATTTATTTTTGACTTTAGCTTAATATTCATGATTATTGTATAACATACACTTATAACTTCAAACAATTTATTATATATTTTACCATTTGTACTCGCATGAAATGCACATAATTCTGAAAATTGTTTCTTATTGTTCACCATCATTCTGGCAATTGTGGGCAAAATGTGATCACTGTTAGCTGTCGTACATTACTGCATTTTGAAATAGTTGAATTTGTTTTATATGTTTCTAAAATAATTAAGCACATTATATATTATGCATACATGGTGTAGAAGAGTGATTAACGTCTTGCATGTAACTTTTTTTCTTTTTCTTTTAAACATTGCCCTTACGTTAGGATAACATTATCCTGTGTTGTAAGGATGTTTTACAAATATAAATTTCACGTGGACAAACACCCAGATGCGAAACAGTTATCTGTGGGTCACACAAATAGTTGTCCCGTGTGGGAATCGAACCCACTACCACCGACGCCGAAGCCAATGCCTTGGCAACCGCGCCACGGAGTATATTAATCTGCATTCAAATGGACATAGTTTGAGGGATGTCAGAGTCATTACTGCATGGACTCCGTGATGACGACTCTGCGGCTAAGTTGCCAAGGTATTGGCTTCGGCGCCGGTGGTCCTGGATTCGATTCCCACGCGAGGCAACTGTTTGTGTGACCCACAGACAATTATTTCGGAACTGGGTATTTGCCCATGTCAAATCTACGTACGTGAAACTTCCTTACAACACTGGATATTGATATCCCAAAGTAAAGGGCAATGTCATCAAAGAGACGACTACGATAGATCTACGTCGCATTGGCCATTGGGCCACTCACTGCCCAACCCCTTGCACACACAAACACGAATGCTTATTATATCACATGGATACAGATCACTCGCGACGTTTATCACCAACTTAAAGCATCGGGCCCTGGTTAGATCACTAACGAGACAAACGAGTCCATTTTCAACCGACTACAAAAAGGGAGGAGGTTTTACTGTATTTTTTTTTTAGTTTGTTACCTCAGAGTTTCCGACTCGGCGACAAGTCAATTGTTTTATTGACGAAAAACAAAACCGTCTACAAATATCACGCTCTGTATTCATTTTATAATTGATTTTTAGGGGTTCCATAACTATCTCCGGAGCCCAGATCCAATACCATTGAAATTAACATGGGACCATATGGGAACCGCAAGCTTTCAAATAAAAAAGGAATCATCAAAATCGGTTCGCTCACTTGAAAGTTCTGAGGTAACAAACAAAAAAAAAAAAAAAAAAAACAGTCGAATTGAGAACCTCCGTTTTACGAAGTCGGTAAATCCATGATCATTTGTAGAGTCGAGCCAAGTGGTTGAGCTAAGCCCCAATTTAAAGGAACAACTCCGTAGACTTCTAAGAATGATGTTTATATGAGAATAAAAATGATCGGTAGTAACAATAAGATAAGAATTTGTTCGCCGAAAATATTGCCATGCGTAGCGCCGAAATACGTAAGGTCTCTGTTACGAGTTTCGGATTATGATTACTTGTTTTTACGTGAAATCGATAGCATAAAGCGGTTAAAAATTCAAAACTATAAATATGCCGGACTTCTACAATTCGAGGTACTTAGAGGAGCCGACCAGTTCTTAGGTTCATGCCACTGCTGAAGCCTTGGCGTGGTTCCACCATAGTAGTAAAACATTTGCCTAATTGTAATACAAATTCTTAATAGTCTTATCCGTGTACTGTTTTCGTTACTACAGCATACAGACACTTCTTCCACCGTTCTTTTATAACGGTGTTCTGTTGTCTTATATTCGGTTGCGATTAAATAAAATTGCCTTTGCCGATTTCAAAATGTGTTTCCATTTTTGGAAGTTGCATCATATGACATTGCATTTTTTCGTATTCAGTTATGTCGTGTGTGATTATCGATATTAATTTTCGCTTCTCTGTGTTCTGTCGATTGGCAAAGTTTGAGAAATGTAACTTAAGTGCGTTCTTAGGCTTACGTTCTTTCGTATACGTAATCCCAATTGCTAAGTAGCCTTGGAAAGCCGTTGTTGTTTTGTAAACTGTCGAAACCATTGAATTCTCGACCCCAGAATTCGATTCGCACACGAGGCCAGTATTTTTGCGACCCATAGAAAATTATTCCGGATCTGGGCGTTTGTTCCGAGGAGGGTTGTCATCAGCCACGGAACGGTCTGGTCGTAAAAAAATCTAGAATCTGTTGTGAAATGGGATAAGGGTATGACGAACAAAAAGTGGAGGACGCCAGGCGATAATAATATAATTGTTTAATATAATCGATGATAATGATATAATTGTTTCATCCTAAAGTATAATAGGATCACTATACTTTAGGATGAAACAATTATATCACTACATAGTATAAAAAACAAAGTCGTCGCTGTCTGTCTGTCCTGCTTAGATCTTTAAAACTACGCAACGGATCTTGATGTGGTTTTTTTTACTAGATAAGTGATTCAAGAGGGAGGTTTATATGTATAATACATTGTACCCGTGCGAAGCCGGGGCGGGTCGCTAGTTATATACAAATACGAGGGAGATATGACACTATCGCGCCGATACTGAGGCACTCAAATTACGGCAATTGTTGTAATTGCTCCCCGCTATCTCTTCCCGCATCATACATCCTATATCATCTGTCACATTCATTTATATACGTCATGTAATGATGAAAAGCGGAATAATTTTCGAAATGCCGCGCAGTATGGTCATGCCCTCATCTTTATTAAAATATCACTGGGATGGAAAGGTCATACTGACTTCCCACATAGCAAGCAAACAATATCTTTTTTTTGTGAAAAACATGTTTTTGTACGATAATATTGTCCTGTGTTGCAAGGACGTTTTACATACATGAATGTGGGCATCGAACCCACGACCTTCGTCTCCGAATCCAATAGGTCAATAACCGCGCCACTGGGTCAACATTATTTCTAAACTCATATTAGTTCGGGCCTGTGAAACATGCCTGCTGACCCCTCGATTTTTATCACTCGGTCGCTTCCTACTACGCCCACGGGTGGGCGAGCTCAGACATGATTGCATTTGTGGCGTCGTTTTAATAATAAACCACGGAAGCCGCGTGGATTAGACAGCATTCCCATTAACAAGGTCAATCCTTGACTATTGACGGCGCGGCAGTATAGTCCTTCTGGTGGGGTAGCCGAAAGCGCACCCTCTGAAGAGCTAGTGGTCTACTGCGATCTTAGAGAACCAAATTGGGTTAACCTCTAGGAATGTGGTAGAATGATGAATGTAAGTGGTGTGTAGAGATGACGTCAGATAGAGGAAAGTGGAAGATGAGACCATATTGTACCGATGAGACGGGCAAGAGAAACCAGAAGACCTCATACGGTGGCAAACAAGCTGGTGGTTCACCTAATGTTAAGCGATAACATCATTCATCATTGATATTTGCAATACCGTAGGGCGGCAGATGTGTTGGCACCTTTTAATATCGCGGGCCCCGGCTACCTCATTCACCAGACGCAAACGCAGAAGTGTTCTACTTCTACTTCACGCCGGTCTTCTGTGAGGTCGTGGTACTACCTGGAGGGAGCTGCCCATTCGTGCTACAGCGAAGACTGCTGCGTGGCCCTGAAAGATGTGGTATCTTTGAAGTTTTTGTTTTGTTATTTATAAAACAAGCAGGGTTCCTCGTGACTTTTTCTTTCACAGCTGAGCACGTGTTAAGTCATCACTTAAAATTGACAATTTCATTGGTGCGCCCACCCCGGGATTTGAACTCTGATTTCTCGACTGTATCGAATTAAAAGCGAGCGATGGTCCCCGAGCTATACACTACTCAAGTATTATATCAGAGTTATTTAGAGAAGTTTTAAGCCATGATGCTATTTCTGGTGT